TTTCCGCGTGTGTAGATAGATTTATGAAGTGGAATATTTGGTTGGAATCTTATAGATTTAGTAGATGTAGATATTTATTTATATGAGCAGATATGCAAGTGAACATTCAGTAGATACATATGTAGTATTTATAGAAGCATATATAGGAATTTATGAATATAGGATGGCAAATACACTGAATGCATTCGTTGAGTCAGAAAATTTAAAGCGACGAGAATTAAGCATATGAATGAAGATCGAGCTTAAAATCTCTGCTGATATCATTATTGATGAAGATAATGATGTTGATACGACATTATTTGTTAGATTATATTCAATACTATTAGTTACTAATTTGATCATCGTTGTCATTTCATACAGCATCCATTATCATACACTCAATCATCTATGAGTTTGCATATTATTATTAGATCTAGCAAGCCCAACTTAAAACTACCTGCGAACGAAGGAGATCGTGGTCGTAATAGCTGGTAACGGTGGCGAGCACAGACTGTGGCACTTGAGCAGGATGGCTTGAATTAGAATAAGTACAAAGATGGAAAGGATGGCCGACTGGCTGGTTGGGTGGATAATGAGCTAAACGAACTCCATTATTATTATCATGACACTTCACTTAGTTTCTGTTCAAGATGATAGCATGTTCTTTCTCAAATCAAATCAAATCAAATCAGTGCGTAGTAGCCGAATACATCATATGTCGTCCTAAATGTAAATACGAGTATATTCTCCGTCATCTATTAACGCTCTTTGTACTGCTGTTGGTTCTAACATCTAAATTTGATATTCACCGAGTCATTGCATACCTAACAATTGACGGAGTAATAACAATAACAACGGTGAGAATGATACTAGCAATAATGATAATAACAGTCTCATTTTGATATGAAAAGTCTAGGATGACCATGGCAACAAAAAAGACGATCCACAAAATATAAATTGTGAGTGTGAAAAAAAGCGCAATGAATGAATCTGAACGAACGATTCGGTCTTATCTGAGGGGACAATTTAATCAATTATCCATTCTTCCACTCATCCATCCAATTGTTTATCTCATTATTGTGATCAACAAAACGCACTTTGAGTTCGTTGAATTCATTCATTCTCTGACAAACTATCGTTTGCTTTGTTCTTTTTGCGTTATTTATGAAACAATTCGTTGTTGTTGTTGTGGTTGTGTTTGTACACAAAAGTTATTTATTTGTTCATTTATTTATTCATTTGTTTATTTATTTACTTAATCATTTACTTACTTATTTGCTTTTAGGCATTATGTATACATACGATTGTATTTGTTTAAATGAGCACTCACTTCCTGCAATACGCAGATCACACCTAATTGTAAGCAGCTAAGGCGACCATTTTTAAGTTTCGTTGTTCATCAGTTAAAACTATTTTATTACTATTGTACAATCATCATTCTCTGGTTGATTGTTCAGTTCAGTGAGTGGATAAGTTTAAGCCATCATTTAAGTCTCTATTGAAAAGATGCTAAGACCTTGCATGGTTCCGACTTCTTAGGTTCATCTCCGCATCATTTCTCGTCTCACTGTAGCTTTTTGGTGTAAAGTTCATTTGATGGTCAGCTGATGGCTAACGATGGGCTGTGCCAATCGTGAAGAATGCGTGAGTGATGCAAGGATAAGCTTTGGAATGATGCATGAATGGATTGTTTCAAAACTTCATATATTGAATTTAGAGGAATTGTCGATTTATTGAGAGATTGAAAAATTGATTAATTAATTGTTTGATTGCTTCGCATTTGCGTTCCATTCCGATTGTTTTCTGATATAGTTTTTTTTATAGTCTTTCAAATAGATGGATGATTGTTTCATTGATTTGGTATTTGCTGTGGGAGAATGAGGGTGTGCGTATGTGCATGATCAGTGTTCGTCAGTAGTGGTAGTTGGTTGACCTGAATTTGTCATGATCGTGATGGTGATAAGATAAAATCGAACAAAACGGTTTTCATTCTTTCGGAGTGCTATTATTATTACTATAATTGATCGTTGTGAACAATATATATATGTATATA